CGCGCCGCTGAAAGGCGGGGAGCAACCGCGTATAAGTGAACCGCGTAAAATAAATCACTGGTGTCAAAAGCTCAAACGCGTATAAACGAAACCGCGTATAAATATGCCGCGTAAAACGAGGGACGCCTGTAATTACAACTAAAGTAAAAAAAATCAAAGTAAATATTAGTGCTGAAATCGGTATGTTGCCTAAAATATGTGAAATATTAAGACTCGGATTTGTTGCTGTATTATTAATCTTACAGATAGTGAGTCTGAGGTATTGATCTTAGGATCGATGAATATTGACTTATTACTCTTGTTAATAGGAAATTTCAACTTCCACAGCGATGGACTTTTTATCAGGTAATGTAAACTTCCATGTGTTGAAACTTTTTGATGTAGCTGAACTCATTGGTTTCTCAGTTAATGATCCACCATTTAATTTTGATATGCAATCTCACTTGCTTAATATGCATGGCAGTATAATTACTATAATCTCTAACAGTGTTTGAGGGAAGTAAATATGCTTAGATAGAATGTCTGGATGATTTAATGCATCCACCATTTCCCTTAGTGCTTTGGATACACTAGGTTGACTGAGCCCATGTAAATAACCCATGCCAATATGTTTCTATACTGTGGTAGGAAGGTACAAGTAAGCTGATTTGATAATCATTATGAACTTCAAGTCATAGATACTGAAAAATACATCGTAGGCGAGAAGTTTGCCGTCTTTGATCGTGCATTCTTTCGCTTTCCAATGCTTCCATAAGTAAAAATGCACGAGTCATCCAGAGAATCAAAATTGCTGAAAATACAAATTGGGAGCATACAATCACTTCTTAGACTCGTCAAGCTATTTTATTCCTTATTTGAACTTGTTATACTTACCTTTCTTGTTAAAAAAATGAATAGTTTTGACAATGTTATCCAAAAAAAACACCGACTAGTCGACTACCACAGAGCAGTTGTTAATTTGACAGTTCAAATCGCTAGTAAGTTGCTGTTGGGTCGCTGTCAATGAGTAAGGGAATACCAATTTTTTGATACTCCTAACAAAAGAATGCACTTTTCGTTCACCAGTTGCTCCATAGAGGCACCACCGTAGCCGGTCGGCGATTGAGACGCGCTGACTGATACATAATACGAAATTTGCGTTTGACAGCAACTATCGACCAACCCGAGTCGGTTGACGGTCGGTTGGAAGTTAGGTAATACGAATGCGGAGCTATTTGGGGCGTCATGGAAATAATTTTAAATTTTTATTTGCATTTTTTCAAGTGTTGTGCAACGATGGTGGGAAAAATTCCACGTATAGTCTTATAACCCTTTAAGTATTGGTGGTCTCATAGGAGACCACCTCTGTTACTTATCAATTTCGCGAAATCGGTGCCCTAAAAATGAGCCTTACCGAAAGAACGATATATGCGGATTAGTCAGTGGTATTTCAGAAGACCACTTCTAGCCGCTGAACACGTGGTCGGCGCGCGAAACTATTATGTGGTCCCTTATTGGACCACCTCTGCATAACGAGCTAGCATAAATACTGTATTTGCGCAAATTGTTACACTGTGTTATTTTTTGTGATTACAATAGAAAATATTATAAAATTGTCATCTGCACTGTTGCAAGGGTGAGTATATTAATGATGTAAGCTTACGAAATATCTCAAACACATTTTTTTTGCATGCGAGTCCAACCCAAAACCTTTCCAGAAGGTTCACAAGGCTGCTTAATGTCACTCAGCGCGACAGCCCTTACGCCTGTTTACATTATACATTCCATTCCTTCTCTGGGTACTTGTTCCCAGGATAAACTTTGTTATACGGGCTTGGACGGCGATACACTTCAATTATTGCGTGGATCAGATCGCTTCTCAGACCAAGTAGTGCGCTTTGTGAACTTGATTACAGTGTTGATGTGCTATTGGGTGTGGTGTTTTGGTTACCTGAAAGGTGAGCAATCACTGAGTGTTTTCTTTATTCTACTGTACTGCATGGATTGATAACCATAATACTTTTATATTCATGATCATGAATGTCTTAAGCCATGTTTGTAAAGATGCTATACTTTTTACCTTCATAATTTAACTTATGGCTTACGACTTGTTACTGAATATCCGCAGGTTGGCCTCGGTTGGCCGCGTGGGTCAGAGTGTCGTGCTACTGATCAGCCGGCCGGCCGGGCCGCGAGTTCGAATCTCGCCTTTGCCATGGATGTTGTGTGTTTGTTTTAGGCAGCAGCGGTGGCCGCAGTAGTAGACTCTTCGGTCTCCTGATCAGCCGCCGTGCGCTGTGCGGGTTCGAGTCCCGTCCCAGGAGAAATGTTTCTCTTGGCCATGGATGTTGTGACTGTCCGTAGGTGGTAGATGGTCTCTGACTGTCGAACGCGGAGGTACCACCCGGCGGTTCTCGTAGGCGGAGCCAGAATGTGTGCATGTTGCATGCACACGTGTTCCCTCGCCAGAGTCCGTGTGGCGTCCCCCCTTTCCCATGCATCCCCCATAGCCCCACGGTACCCAATGGGTGCTTAGGCCTTAGGCCTTCGTGGTAGTTGGAGTATAAAAAAAAAAAAAAAAAAAAAGGTGTGACGCCTCCAGGTTGTGGGGGTTGTTATGGGACTTTCGGAGCCCGTTTGTTGGGTTGAGGTCGTTATGTTACTTACTGCTCGGTTTCCTCTACCAGGGGAAACGTCGGAGCGCTTTGGATGTTGACACGGTGGCCTTTGGCCGAAGTGGCGTCCTTGGTCTGAATGACCGCTTAACTATCTTCTCTTGGCAATCGCTGGAGTCTGAATGTATCTCATGGCAGGATGTGTGAAGGGATTGTTACTTTAATGATAGTCATATTGCTCGGTTACCTCTGATTCAGGGGTAACGTTGGAGATTTGGGGTATTGACACAACGGCCCTTGGCCAGCGTGATATCCCGGTTCCTAGACTGTCTTTTTGTAACAATCGTTTTTACTCAGCACGTCTGACCATACACGTAGCGACCAAAGAGTTAGAGTGAGTCTGTGTGACGACTCCTATTAAGTCTGTGTGATGACTTAATGATCAGTCTGTATGACGGTCATGATCAGTCTGTGTGATGACGATCCCGTGATTCAGTCGATGACGAATCCGTGATAGCAGTTGGGGTACATTAATGTAATGGTAAATAGTAGATTTGTGCATGTGATGTCATGAGTCAGTTGAATACGGGAGATACTCTTTTTCTAAAAATAGGTGTTGGCCCCGACAATCCGATCATATCGCCCTTATCGCTTGCCAAAGGAGGATAACTCGTTGTCGTTTCGTCACCAAGTAAGTGACTTTAATACTACCCTGACATTGTTGGCCATACCGAATTGTTTACGTACTGCCCATGTAGTAAAAATGAAATGGTACGGGGCGGTACTTCGAAATCTTCTAAGATGAGATGTTTTCACGTTTATCGTTATATTGCTATTATCATATTATCAATTTCGTATCCTACAATGATCGAGTAATAAATATCAGATAAATTAATATTTTTTTCCATATAAAGGTACCACTACACTTCTAACCTCAAAAATGATAAATTTTGAATTTCAGTTTTAATCGATATGCGACATCTTCGTTTATAGTTACATGCGTATGTTATTCAATATATGCTACTGATACTCAATACAAAGGCTGTTTTTGAAATGTTATTCGGCTTACGAGTTATCGGAAATTGAATCTGGCACTTTTCTTTCAGAATATGAATTCGAAAAGTAAATGGACATTTCAAGAAAGCGACGCAGGAGGAGCTTCTACAGATAGTAGCAGATTGTGAGGCTCAGGCTATAAATTCAGATCTTGAAGGAGAAAGTGATGCCGATGACAATCTTCCACTGAGAAACAGTTTACTTCTAAGTCAAAACCTACCACCAGGACAAAGTCGGGCATCACTGTTTCAAGAGGTCAATCGCCCAATACTTCTACCACTTCCGGTAATGTTTATCAGACGATTCTGTAAAAGATCCCGATTATGCATATTCTGGCTCACACAGTGGATCTGAGATGACCAACAGTGGGGTGAATAAATATCAAGGAACCTTAGACATGTCAACAAGGGATGTTGAAAATGATGACCGGGTAGACATAGATGAGTAAGGCGAAGAAGGATCTGAAAATGGACAAGAAGAGACAGGTGGTGATGGAGACGATGTCGAGTTCATTTGGACAAAAATTGGAAGCCAAGCAATGACTTATACAGATTTCAACTATAATCAACCACAAGGTGTCAAAGATATAGTGGGATTGACAGATGAAACTATTGATTCACCTCTGCAGTATTTTCATGCAATATTCTCGGACGTAGTATATGATATGATTATTACCGAATCTAACAGGTACGCAGCGCAAAAAGGAGTTGGTTTGAATTTACAACGGGATGAGTTGCAAGCGTTTTTTGGTATGCTACTGATAATGGGTTTCCATACCCTGCCAAGCCTAAGATTGTACTGGTCAACAGATCAAAACTTCCATGTAAGCCGCATAAGTAACATAATGTCACAAAAGAGGTTTTTACATCTTCTTCGCTATCTTCACTTGAACGACAATGAAGTTATGACACAGCGAGGACAAGAGAACTTTGACAAATTATATAAAATACGTCCACTTGAAGGGTCGTACTACACTGAAACAGTATATGCCCATGAAACCAGTAAAAAGAGGATTCAAAGTTTGGGTAATTGCTTGATCTCGGACTGGTTACAACTTGGGTTTCAAGATTTATGAAGGTAAGGAGAAAACTGATTCGGCAGGTATAAGCCAGGAGAAAGAACAGTTCTTACAATGTCTGATAAATATAATGGTGAAGGTCGCTGTGTCTACTTCGACAACTTTTTCAATAGTTTTCCACTGCTGAAAATACTTCTTGCAAAAAATACTTTTACATGTGGCACACTAAGGAAAAATAAAAAGTTTTTCTCAAAAAGTAAAATGAGGAACGATAAATCCTTGAAACGTGGAGAATCTGACTATTGCATGGCTGGTGATATTTCTGTATACAAATGGAAAGATCGAGGTGCCAAACCAGTCCTACTACTAGCAACATTCACGATCCAAGGGAAGAAACAACTGTTCTCAGAACAAATGCCCAAGTGAATCGTGAAGAAGTTATTTGTCCAAGTGCGGTATCAGATTATAATAAATATATGCTGGGTGTGGACAAGTTTGATCAGATCATGTCTCCATATAATGTCTCTTGGTAAAGCAGGCGATAGTGGATGAAACTTTTTTACTTTGTTTTTGATGCCTCAGTTGTAAATAGCTATATTCTCTACTCAGAAACCAAAAAACAGACCAAGGAGAAACCCATATCTCAACTACAGTATAGGAGTATTTTAGCTAATCAGCTAATCGGTTCATTCACTGGTAGAAAATCAATGAGCCCTATACCACAAACAAACAAAAATAAAATCAACAAAATCAATGGCCGTTAGATAACCATTGAAAATATACGGCGAATGGCTAACGTTGGTCAACATTTGCCGGTTCCTGGTACAAAACGACGGTGTGGGTATTGTATTACGAAGAAAGATGTTAAGAGGACAAAAATTTAATGCAAGGAGTGCAATGCTGGACTTTGCTTACAATGTTTCGAACCCTTCCATGTGAAAAAATAAAACAGTTCCTAATATATAAACCACTTGTTTTACTGAAAACTATCGAGCGCATTTGAGTTAAATGCACCCTACATGTGTGGTGGTCAGTATAAGGACCACCACTTGGACGCCATTTTGGAAACAGTAATCAACAAAATCTTATATAAATAGCTGCTTTTGCTCCTGCTCACAAAAACTAAGGTATTTATTACTCTTGTTGATGAGGAACGAAGTCTTGCACTATAAAGGGATAAAGCATAGTAGAGTAGTTTTCAACAGTTGGCGGACCTTACTCCACTGGGACGGCGTTGACGGATCCCACACATGTATCACTTGTGGAGTTTTGAAATACAGTAATCAGCTGCTATTCAAATAATGTCCAATATAAATATAGCCCAGAATGTGTATTCAGTGAAATAAGAAAGTTATTGCAAATTCTAGTTTTTTTGCAGGTTTTGGGTTTGCCGGTAGCTTTACGACAAATATTTGGGTATTTCTTAAACGCTGTAAATATAGTGTGGATGTTTGTTCAGTTCCTGAACAACAAAGAATATTCGACCCAGCATTTACACAGGCACGTCTGGACTCGCAAGCCCGACATATGGATTTCTGATGGATTCTCTGTTAAAATTTATAATGGCGTGGACGAGAGACAAGAAAAATTTATTGATATATATAGGAACCATCCTTGCTTATGGAAGGTAAAAAGTGAAGACTATAAAAACAAAAACTTGGAAAACACTGCTAATCAAGAATTAGTGCAATTTTCCAAAGAAAACGTTCTATCTTCGCGCCACTTTTCTACCCAAAACCTTCTTTTAATTTGGATTCCGTGTTAAAATATACGTATGTTGCAGCACACGCTGTCGCCTGGTCTCTTAACTTTTTTCTTAAATATGCTGCTGAAAATGGCGCGTCACGCTGGAGTCATCAAACAGTTGGAAATCCAACGCGCTACTCCAAAACTGTGGGGTTTTGTGTTTAGACGTACAGTTTTTTCATGTACGCTCCAAACGCACAAAGTTGGAGCTTGGTCCAGAAACGTTGTCACATTTCTTGTACAACGTGCCAAGTGCGTACGCTCCAAGCACGCACGCCACTCTAAACGCGCCAGACGACGCTCCAAAACAGACAGATTGGAACGTACAAAAATAAGCGATCCAAGTTGCACATACCCCTTTCTTTTTCTGCTCCCCAAATATACCAAACTGCAACGTCACATTAGCGCCTAAAGTGGTTCAATAAGCATTTAGGTAGTGGCGAAATGATATGGACTATAGAAGAGTAGCGTCACGCTGTTGTTAAAACAGTTGTTTGCGCGGTGTCTGAAATTATATTGTGGTATCCAAAATCCTTCATGCAGTTTAGCTGTGGTGTCTGTGATATAGCAGCTAGTGAGGAGGAAGATAAACATCCAGATAATGAAGGTCACTTGCAGGAATTGGGGTGCTAATATTTCGATGCTCCTCTAATGATGGAAAGGCAAGTATTGTTATTAACACATTTTGAATTTGAGACATCGTCGCTTAAGTTGTAATACTACGAAACTCAAAACAATAACTTATGTTTTTTCTTGAAAAAGCCACCGTGATTGCCGGAACGTCATCAGTAGGCTTTCATTTGCGACTAGAAAGATATGGAGGACTACGAGTATAAGATCATTCGAAAGCGAGTCCAAAGTTTGCTCTGGTAAAAAGTTATAAGTTACACCGAGCTGGAACTCTTCTTCTTAGCAACTACATTTTTGTGATTCATGAGTGGGTAGTACCAAAAAGAAGAACATACGGTAGAAATTTGTTATCTAGTTTTACATCCTACGTCAATGAGCAATGGCAAAGATTTTCAAAGTATTTTGAGTTTTATATTTTTATGGCGTTTCATGATATACCCAAAAAGTATGGATTCCTGGTTGCAGTATCGACTGTAGATTGTTCAAGTATGTTGCGAGGAAATAAATGTCACGTTCCATTTTTTTATTTAATTTTATACAGTCTATAGCGGTGGCCGCAGTAGTAGACTCTTCGTTCAACTGATCAGCCGCCGTGCGCTGTGCGGGTTCAAATCCCGTCCCAATAGAAATTTTTCCCTTGACTATGGATGTTGTGATTGTCCGTAGGTGGTAGACGGTCTCTGACTGTCGAACGCACAGGTGCCACCCGGCGGATCTCGTAGGCGGGGCTAGAATGTGTGCATGTTGCATGCACACCTGTTCCCTCGCCAGAGTCCGTGTCGCGTTCCCCCTTTCCCCTCTAACCCCTATAGCCCCACGGCACCACATGGGTGTTTAGGCCTTAGGCCTTCGTGGTAGTTGGAATAAAAAAAATATTCATGTTCACCGAGCAATATATACGAACATTTAAAAAACAAAGTGATTATTTTCATCTACACTGAAAAAACTTTTAGGATGTAAGCACAAAGTTTTGAACATCTGCTTTTTTTTCTGGTTACTAACTTTAGCGCCCTTACACCCGTTTTCAAACTTGCTACCATACAATAATCCATTCCAAGTTCTGTTAGAATTTGTATAGCAGTTACTGAAATTGTGTCAAGGAAGCCAGAACGATAGGGTTATCGCCGGTGGAATGCTAAAGCACCTATTTTCCAGAAAATGCTATTTATCATACATCGTTTTGACAGTAAAAATAATAATAACATGGATTACCCTGTATAAACATAATTACTCTATGACATTCCAAACTAGGCGTTACTCAGTAGAAATCAATTAAAAGTAGGGAATCCTTTCTGATGAACCATCCGCCAGTAACCCTTCTTCTCTTTATTGGAGTATAGCTATCTTGGTAGCCTCCAGGCAATAAATCATAAACAAAAAAGCCTTTAGTATAGCGGCATGTGTGTTGGTGTATCTATGCAGTTGAAGGATGTATCTAAAGTTGGACATACATGCCAATAATTTGCATAGCAGCCTGATTTACTAGCTATTATGTATATGATTCCGCCATTGTATGATCTGTACGAATATTTTGGCGAACAAACCAATCAACTGTCCCTTTGTGTCTCTACCCACACGCGAATAAATATCGAAGATCTCCGAGTGTTTGAAAAGCTTCATTCCAGCCAGGGTCTTTGATTTCTTACCTTTCGTCTTTCACCTATAAGCAATTCGTCTATAAAATGCTCAAGTTGATAATTATTTTATTACCAACGGCAGATTTGAGGGTTGAAGTTTTTAATGATGATATATAATCTTTCCTATTTTTAAATCGTCGTAACACAAGAGATGAAAATATGAAGTATACACACTCCTTAAAGTATCCTGAAAGGTACTTCATGTAAAATTTGTCTAAGAATACTTGTTGTTGCGCTCAAAACTCTTATTCTTGTTGTAACCTTTTTATCGCATGTCCTTTCGGTATTCATTAGCGTGTATGTTTAGTTTTTGCTTGGAGTGATCCAACAGACAGCGGTAGCACTATCAGGCGGTTATCTAACACTTAAACAAACGCCGAAGGATATGAAAGAAAAAAACCGGCAATAAATTATACTCGAAAAAAGAGAGACGCTCTACATACGGACAGGTCGCAGGTCGAAGTGTGTCTGCTGTCTGCTCCCCTGATCACTCATTCCCGACGGTCTGTTTAATAACTGATCAGATCCCAAACAGAGGTTGAGAGATGATTTTTTCTATGGTAGGTCACATATTTGGTATTCAACATCAGACAAGCCAAAAAGGTAGGTTGCCCAAACAATACATTATAATCCACCAGTTCACTGTTATAATAAGGTAGTGATTCAATAAAAATGCATTTTCTTTCTTCTCCAACACGATTGCCTTCCGAAACACTCAAACAACAACTGATTGATATCCATGCTAAATCCACTAAACGTAAGGTTCAAACAGAAAAATACGATTTTCTTCTAGCACTGTCAATTTCTTTGTGAGCCAAAAACACAAAATATAGCTTTTACCTTTGAGGTGCCGCGCCGCCAACTGCATAAGCGTACCCGCTGGTTGTTCCATTTCCACATTCATAAGAAAAAATTACATGGATTATTCTTAATACCTAAAATTTAGAATATCATTTTGTTTCTCAAATTTCTGGTAATATTTTATGACTAGACAGGATAATTTCTTTGATTAATACATCAATATGGTAATTTGAATCAAGAAGGACTTATTCATTTCCTACTTACTTCGCCGCTGATATCAGAGAGAAGTGTGGAACTCTTTGAACTAGGCCCACAGACCCCACAGCTCTGTTCCTGTTTTGATATGGGCACACTGACGTATTCATGGGAGGGCTTTGAGGCTCCCTAAGCGCAATCGCTCATTAAGCTTCTCCTACATATTACAGCATGTTATACCTTCTGTGAAGTGTAGCTCCCTGGACTAAGCGAGTCCCACTCCCTGCTCTTCATTTTTCAATCTCTCTTCAAATTTCTGTCATCGGACTAAACTAGGCAGTTCCAGATGAATAAAATTAACAAATCATAACTGTTTGTGCTAGCAAAAATTCTATATACTTGGATTTCTGCTTACAGTGACTGAATGTCTACAAAGTAAGTAGCACCTTGACTCGAATGCAGTTTTGTATAAACACAGAAAGTGGTTGAACTAAATACTGGTGAAATACTTTTCATAACTATTG